GTACGATCCGAGCTTTGTTTTCTTTTTTTCGCGCTTTATAAATGAAAATAAAATTATTATAAATTGTATATGCAAAATATCGAATAAATAAAATATATGATCTTGATTCGTACAAATTATTGTATATTCCAAAAACAGAATCAATAATTGTTCGATATAAAATGATCTAAAATGATTTGTTAATTAACTAAATTTTCCTATCCATTTATTAAAGAGATCGATTATTATATGAAACAGTCGTCTAACTAAATATCATAATAAAAGACATATTAGAGACTGTTTCTATTTTCTTTAATAACAAATAAAAACATATTAGTGGATTGCTTGTTCTCAAAAATAAATTTAAATAAATTACACGTCTATCCTCGAATATCAAGGCATTTATCATTCAAAAACTTTAATAAGATACTATCGTTAAAAAAAAATAAAACTATTTCCAATAATATTATTTGCTATATAAATATCTTAAAAAAAAAAATCCAAAAAATATTCTCTAAATTAATAAGCACTGTATCTGTTATAATTACTATTTCTTTTTTTAACTAATATTGTTGAAATATATTTAATTTGCGAAGAGAATATTCGAATGTTAATTAATAATATTTTTGTAATTGATACTAATAAAAAATGAAAATATAAGTTTAAGAGTTGATCCAGACTATTCAGACTAAAAACCATTATTTTACTTTGTCGTTTGTATGAAAATATATAAATAATTTTTTAATACTGTTTCAAATGTATCTCCAACTAACGACAAAAAAAAAAAAGAAATAAAATAAAAAATTTGAGTCACAACCCACATATGACTGTCTCGAATAAGAATCATCTTCTGGATACCTTCATCCATCTACAGATTACATCTAGGGCTGGAAAAAATTCAATACTAAAGCATAATGCTATCCGAAAAATTATAGAATATTTAAATAAGACTAATATGTTTGTATGTTCTACTACATTAAAAAAAAATCTAAAATAAATGTAATCTAAAAAGTCAATGAGAATTTGTAGGCACGTTAGAAAATGTTTCATAAATTACGATAATTAAACAAATATTTGGTGTCACGTGTAAAAGATAGGGTGTCAAGCCCTTATAAAAACCCCTTATTCCTTCTGACCTCCATATTGATTGAATACAATGTATGCTGCCACTGTAGTTGTGATGATGGTCTTGAAGTCGTGCTCTAACAACTTGATACGGATAAGTCGAAGCGGCAGCAATTAATTTTGAAACTGCTGCAAAGAAAATATATTCCCATGTGCTCTGTAAATAAAAATATTTTTTTCAGATTTTCCATCAAATAAAAAATTAATGCAATATATATATACATAAAAATATACAAATAATTATTGGATATTAAACGTACCAGCTTCGTATCGATCGGAACATTCAAATAATTGTTGTACCAATTTTTCAATTCTTCGTACACCATAAATTGAATAGCACCATGTGAGACGCCAAACATTCCAGGTACAAAACCCTATAAATATCCGAAAATATTTATAAAAACAATTAAATTAACGTTCAATATTCCATTTTTTTTTTTTTCACCGAAAAGAAATTCACTTACTCGATACAAGCCTCTAACTCCTTCGGTTCTATAAATCTTCTTAATTGCATCTATCATGCCATTATATCTAAGTGTTTCCGGAAGATGCTTATCATCCATATATTGCAAACATAAACGTGTCTTTACTACCCATAATGGATTTGTCATAACTAAAGTAAGAATTCCAGCGTCTGCTGCTGCGAACATGTGCATTGAGGGTCCCAAAGGTTTTCTACTATTTCCCCCTTGGATCCATGTTTTAATGGTATTGTAACTAAACAAAGAAAATTTCCAAATGTTATACAGTTCAATTTTCAATCTGTTTATTGTTAAATAAAATTTATTAAAATTATTTAAGATCCTTACAAAAAGAAATAGCAACCCCATGCACCGCCAGATCCTAGAACGTTTGGCGTTACACCTCTGTAAAGTCCTCTCACTCCTTCAGTCTTAACAATCTGCATAACCGCGCTTTTAAGACTTTTGTATTGTGGACCCACGCGTGAGTGACCATCGCTAACTATAAAAAAGAGAGGTAGGATGATGAATAAATCTTGTGTTTATTCGATCAAATGCAAAGTTGGACAAACAGGGCATAAGAAATTGATATTAAATTTTTTTAAATGGTATCATTGTCCTGAAAATGTTCATCAAGTCTTTCTCGCTCAACTTGATAATAATGAAGAGGGGCCAAAAGATAAGTAAAATCTAATTATGTATTTTTTCTTTAATCACGCGTCGACAGAAAGTTTATCTAGCAAGCTTGTTGCAACTTCAACCTCGTGACACCATTGATTTCCATTGAAAGTCATATTTTATTTTTAATTGCATTGTAACATTCGCTAAACCATTTTAAATAAACATAAATTTAATTCGTGTAAAAAATGATTCTTCATTCATTTTCATGCGTTATTATAAGATATTGTTACGATAAATTATATGTATATTTGTAAACATATTATATAGCCAGTAGGAATGCAAACTTTTAAAGCTATTGATAATAGCTTTTTACTAACAAACATCAAGCAAACGTCAATATTTTATTATTAAAGTATGTATTTTGCTTGTATAATATTCAATGCATTCTACAGAAAAAATCAATCAATCATTTATTATTCAGGTTACATAATAACAAGCATTCCATATTCATATCTCGATAGGAATTTTTATTGCAAATTAAATTATTAATTAAATGCCATGATTATTACTACTTTTTGGTATATATTATTAAATTTATTTCGTAAATATAAGTATTTTTGTCGTGGATTAGTTTGAAAACTACAAATTTCTTAAAAAATAATAAGTGATAAATTTGTTGACTTTCCTATTATAAAATTATCATCATATTATAATCATCATTAATGAATTTATGATATTTTTATGATAATAATTTACATAAATTTATGAAAAAAGACAATTTCTATTAAAAGTTTCGGTACTTAATAAATTAAGAATTTTTCTACAAATTTCTCATATAAATTTTTTCAGATTTTTTAAAAACTTTATCATTGAAAATATAACATAATGAATATAATGAACATAAATGACTCATGTTTACAAATGTGAAATGATCAAATGTGAAAATTATATTGCATAATATAAATAGATTGAAATTATTAAAAATTTTTTCTTTATGAAGAAATATAAATTATAAATAATAAATAATAAATAATAAAATTGTTGAATTATACCATGAAAATAATTTCAGACAAAATAATTATATAGTAGTATAATTATCGTAAATCAATTTGAATAAATTTACTGCACGAGTCAAAATTTTAATCGCAAAATGTAATCGTTTGAACTCACGTGTTTCTGATGCAATCCACAGAATTTCTTACTGTTTGGTATATAGCCAACGAATTTTACGACGAAAATACAGCAAAGAGCAAGCTTCTTGATGACACCATCATTGGCTTTTTTGATAATGACATAAGAAGCTAATGAATAGGTTTTGTTTTTAAATTCAATTTTAATGATTTCTCGTGTAGTTAAGCAGTTATTAATTATTTTTGAGATAAAAAATATATATTTCAAAATATATATACATATATATATATATATATATGTATATATATTTCAAATATATATTCATAATTACAAATTAATTGATGACATAAAATAAATATTAATAGACAATATGTAATAAATATTATCTTTAGATCGAGTTCATTAGAATGCATTAATATACAAAGAAAAAGAACAATATGAAACCGCAGACACTATGGTATCAAATTGTATTGAATAACATTAGCGATAACCTGGTCAATTCTGAGTAATCTTTAAGTAATTTGAGCATTGCATTTACATTTACTTATGTATATGAATAGAGTACTTAGAATTGAATTATTAATCATAATTTTTAATATCAAATAATAGAAAAAATTTCCTTAAAAATTTATTAAAATTTTCAATTTTCTTTTATATTTGAAAAAAAAATAAAAATCAAAAAATTTATTTTTGATCAAAAAAAAATATTAATAAAGTAAGATGAAAATGATATATATAAAAAATGTTCTATTTAGTAACATAACCACAGGAATGCTACTTTCCACTTCTAAATGTGATCGAAAGTTGATCATAACTTTCCATTTCGTTTCGAAACATAATAAAATGATTTGCTTATTTCAAGATTGTTTTATATTTTAAATTTCATGTATTTCATTTAAAAATATTATATAAATTATTATTTTTATTTACACTTTATTTTCTTAATTAATCCAATAATTATTAAATAATTTCAATAGAAATTATCATCTTATTCTTGAAAATTTGTCCATTTGAATTTATTAGAATTCATCTTTTTAAAAAACTATAATCTATTAATGAGAAAACGCCTTAAGGAAGTCTTATATAGTAAACTATGTAAATAAAACTAAATGAGATAGATATAAATAGTGTAAATCCACCCACAAATTTGTCATCAATTGTCAATACATAATTGAAAGATAAAATATAAAGTTTTACTTAAAAGCAAATGACAAAAGTCAATACCGGAATATTATTTTAAATATTATTTTTTGAAGCATTGAGCATACACAATTTACATATTTACAATGATATATATCACAAAGGAACAAAGTGAATAGTCATCGCATATCCCGAAGCCGGTCAAAAATATCTCTCGATATTTCTCGATAATGCCACGTGCTTTTATATGCTCGACCTTGTCGGTCGAAATAATAGGAGCATCGACCGAAAACAATATTGTTTTTTCGATTTTATTTCAACTAACTACATATTTTACTACGATCTAGATATGTTAACAAATATGTATACGTTATTAAACACATTATATTATTACATTATATTATATTATATTAATTAATGTAAATTATACATATTATTTCAAAAAATTATATGATATATAAACAAGGACAAATTATTTAAATTTAATTATTTCTTCAATGTTCAACCTGACATCTAGATTTTCATTCAATTTTCCCAACGAAAAGTTAAAAATGAAACAGAACTATTGCGACAAATGGCGTACGTCATTTGTTTCGAAAATGATATCAATATTATTATTACAAAGTTTCTTCTATTGTTGATTCTCTATAAAAACTATCAAAATATTCGTATTCCGTACATTAATTATGAATAGAAAATTCTTATACGTGAGTCATAAATAAAAACCAAAGACAGAAGAAATATTTTCTATGTCTAGAGAGATTAAATATAGAACGTAGTACCACGTGTACTTTATATATCGAATAAATCGAACTTGTACCGGCCATTTGCATCTACAACCGTTATGTCGTCAGCAATGACACACTCGAATCGCTTACCTGCGAATCTAGTCTTGATCAAGTCCAACGGATGCAGCATCAAGGTGGAAACCACGCCACCAGATATACCAGCGATGAAATGTTCGTATTTGAAGTGGCTCAGCACGGGCAAAACACGAGCGGTTCCCGGTGAACCACTAGACTTCATTGCCGACATTTTTCCCGTGTTAAGCTGCTCGTTCTTCGTTATCGATCCGTCAGCGGAAAATCCAGTCGCATCCTTCACAGCGCTAGCAATATTCGCCTCCACTCTGCGGCATATCTCTTGATCCGGGGCAGGCAGTGTTGTTGCGTTTACGGTAGCGCGAGGCACGGCTGAATTCGCCTCTACGATTTGATGCTTTCCTCCGTCTCGCTTGCTCTTTTTAACCGATTACGCAACGCAACAAAACGTCACACGCACCGAACACCACCATACTAAGTGCTCAACTGCCCGCGTCAAGCGTTCTGCGCATCGCTTCTTTTAACTCGATTGCGAGTGCCATCTTTTAAGAAAAGAAAGAGCAGCGCACTCTACCGCGCGAAATTCGATTCGAATTACATACGCATCTATTTTGTGGCGCCTTTTTACTTTCAATTGTTTATCTTATTTAATATTTTTCAATATATTATAAAAAAATATTGCAGGAAATAAATAAATTTAATTTAATTTTTAATAAATAAATGCTATAATAACAAAAAATTAGCGAAATTGGACATAATAAAATATTCTTTTTCATCATAAAATACTAAAGAATATTTGTAAATATTTTTTATTAATTATATTTAAGAATTATAAAAAGTTTAAGAATTATAAAAAAATAAAGACATAGTTTAACACAATAAAATATAAGTAAACGAACAATTAATCTATATCCACTCATTTATAAGTTTAATTTTTAATCACATTTATATTATATTAATTATGTTTCATAATAAATTATGAAACATATATTTCTAAATGAAATTGCAAGTATTGATTAATTAATTTTGAGACAAAAATATGTTAGATAAAACTTATTCGAAAATTCTTATCTTTTCTGATAAATCTAACAATGTATTGGTAATGAATAATGACTATCAGTGATAATCGATGATAAATTTTTATATCACGACAGAACATTTATCATTTTTTTTAGTCTTTTATAAGCAGCATTGAGCTGAATTGCTCAATTAATTTCTATATATGTTTAGTGAATTGTTATTAAAATTAATTCGGGTAAATAGAAGATAGTAAACGTTGAACATTATCATCTTTGATTCGGCAAGCATTGCAATTAGTACTAAATATAAATATTTAAATATAAATATTTATTTCAAAAATTATTTTCGATATTATTTTTTGAAATGTGCATAAAATATATATATAAAATCGATCTAAATTTTTTCTATTAAATAAATTATATAATTAAAATATTATATAAATATATAAATAATTCATAAAAGATAATTTTTATATGTTATGAAATTTAAGTGTCTATGAATTTATGATGATTGTAGTTGAAACAAATATATAAATAAAAAAAATATTTGACTCAAATTGAAAAAAAAAGCAGTTTCTGCAACATCAAGATTTCAAATCTCGACAAAATGGTAAGACGATATTTTTATATTATGCAAATAATACAAACAAATAAATTTCCTTTATAAAATAATTATAATTTTTTCTTTTATAAAATAATGTCAATGTTACAATAAGAACTAGATCTTGAAATAAATTACATTTTTATCAAAAATTATCTAAAATTATGTAAAAATATCTAAAATTTTAGTTTACATTTGTTATCATAATATCGACAAAATTAAAATTATTTATTTAAAAGTCATAATAAATATTATCAAATATGAAAAAAAATTTAACATCTTGCTCAAGATAAAATATTCACAGTTGCTTACATTTAACTACTTTTTGTGTAAAATTAATAAAATATCAATGAAATTGATATTTGGACGAAATAATTAGACTCTTTTTGTATTTAGAATAAATAAATCCATTTTAATGTTATTTTATAATTGAAATATCAATTATAATACATATTGTATTTGTATTATTATATAACATTACTATATAACATGAAAATGCATTTTATATAAATAAACAGAAAAATAAATATTGTAATAAATATTTATTAATTATAAGTTTAAAACTATGTATACAATATTATGTTACAAATTATTATGGACAATAAAATTTTATCACTAAAAAAAATATCACAACTGTATAAAAAATATGATAAAGTTTACTAACAATCTCGATACATTTTGCGGCATATATAGTGCTAACAATTAGCACTATTCCCCTAGACAATTCTCAAGTTCAGATATGTGAGTACGTGTCATATTAGCCTCACTTAAAATATCGTGATCGCTAATCGTGAAGCAGAATAATCACATACTGAAAAAAGGAAAAAAAGAGAATTATAATGTGGAATTACTTTGACGAACGGATTTCTTCATATTATAAAAAAAAATCCTACAGATATTTATGTTTTTTGGTAAGTGTGAATTAATATTCGTTCAGTGATACTTGATATTTGGAGTATTCGAGTTATATCAAATCAAAAATAAAATTCAAAGAAAAATTCATTGTATAATTGAATATTGTGTATTCATTTTTATTTCATTTGTTCATAGTTTACTCACTCATTCGGATTTTTATCTGAATATCTTACACTTCCTGTTTTATTTTTTATATATCTCTACGAATGTCGTATCTTTTATTCGACATTCGATTAATTCTGATTCAATCAAGTTTCAAAGCCATCGTTATCATATCGTTGTATTCGTTTCTGTGAATAACTTTGCTGCCAGTTGCTGGAGAAGATGATGGTGGTCTACCTCCATAAGCCAAATCTTCTAAACGTATTCCTAAAGCTAATGCTATTCTGTCTCTCACGTACAAATACGGGCCTTGATTTTTATGTTCTTCTTGTAACCACATAAGCTAAATGCACGAGACATTTGTTTTAACATTGATTTAAGAAATTAAATTTATTTAAAAGATTAATTTACTTTAGCATTCGGATATTTTTTCATTTCTTCAGCTAATAAATGATACGGAAATGGACAAAGTTGTTCGATGCGAATAATCGCTATTTTATCTACCAATTGTTTCCCCTGACGTTCGATCACTAAATCATAAAATACTTTCCCACTACACATCAATACTTTTTGTATATTTCCTGGTTTGACAAATGGATCAGAGAGAATAGGTTTAAATGAAGTGCCAGACTCCATATCAGCGAAAGGCGAAAGAGCCATAGGATGACGAAGCAGAGATTTGGGTGTCATTACACACTGGTTGAATAGATAAATAATTATACCTGGTTTTACCTTTAATAATAAAAAGAAAGTAGGTATAATAAAATGTTCACTAACTAATGGTTTCCGAAAAGGCATATGAATTTGACGACGAAGGACATGAAAGAAATTTGCAGGCGTCGTTAAATTGCAAATAATCCAATTTATTTCAAACAATTGCCGTGTCATAATTTGATCTATAGTTTCTCCTGGTTCGGCCATCGGAAGATAAGAGAAATCATCGTCACAAAGCTCGAGATATCGTTCAATTTTTGCGGAAGAATGTTCAGGTCCCTGTCCTTCTAATCCGTGGGGCAAAAGAAGAACTAATCCTACCTGTCTACCCCATTTCGTTTGTCCGGAACACAAAATAGTATCTAAAGTGACCTGAACATATACAATTTTTATTATTAATATTTTTAATTGTTATTGTTATTTCATTGTTGATAATTCATTATCAAGATTATCTATCATAAATAATTTTAATATTTGTAAATTATAATATCTATATTACTTTAATAATACTAATAATTACTAACTTTGTAACAATTTATAATAGAAGTATCAAATCAAATCTATATTGTATATATCAAATAACATGCAATAACAATGTATGGTAACATTCTTGATTACATGAGACACAGTATTGATTTTTAATTAATTTTTGAAAAGATTCACCTGACAAGTGTTCGCAAAATCACCAAACTGGGCTTCCCAAATTGTTAATGTGTTATGGTTATATGTCGAATAACCCAACTCGAATCCTATATTTACAATCGATTATAGTTTATCGACAATTTTCTTTTTTTTTCAATTCAATTGTCTAAAAGACTCACCGCAAACGCCATATTCCGATAATGAAGAATTCGTGACAGTATACATTGCTTGTCCCGGAAATATATCATGCAAAATATTTTTATACGTTTTATCTCTACTCTGATCGTGAATAACATGTGTGCGATGAGAAAAGGTGCCTCGCTCAACATCTTCACCGGATAATCTTACGGGGCAACCTTCTTTCAATAAACTACTAAATGCTAAGCATTCACCCATAGCCCAATCTACCTGACGAGATTTACTCAATTGCGCTCTTTTTTCCATTACTCTTAATACCTACATTAAATAAATTAAACATTTTTTAAGTTTTAAAAATAAATGAAATTATTTCATCATCATTCTAAAGAATATAAAGTTTATTTTCGTCAAGCATTTTCTAAATACGCTCTGATAAGATTATCAGTATTGATATTCAATGATAAAAATGAAAAATTATATCTTAATACCTGAGTATGGGATTCAATGTCATTAGGAGGAGTTGATATCGCTTTACAAATTGTGTTTATAGTTTCTATGTCGATACCAGTCGATGGAATTTTATTTTTGGGACTTTGAGTAGCAAAGAAATCGGTCCAAGGTATATCATGCCAATCACCTAATTGCATCGAATCTATTGTTTTTGCCTTTTCGAATTCTGTTTCGCAATAGTTCCAATATTTTTCAATTTCCTATTATATATATTATGATTAGAAATTTATCAAAATATGAAACAATAATTATAATTGTATCTACTTCTTTGGCAAATGCTTCAGTAATCACTCCTTCTTTGAACAATTTATCACTGTAAATATTAAGCACATTCGGATGTTGCTTAATACGTTTATACATCAAAGGTTGCGTGAGCATAGGTTCATCTAATTCATTGTGCCCGAATCTTCGATATCCCACGATGTCCAGAACAACATCATTGTGAAATTCGGCTCTATATTATTAATTTGTATAGTTAAATAATATTTTATTATATTTTTCATCCTAGTGCGAAAAAGGTATACGTTGCATACCTGTATTCGCTGGCAACTTTACTACAATAGGTCACTAAATCAGGATCATCAGCATGTATATGAAATATCGGGGCGTTTACAACACGCGCTACATCTGTACAATGCGCACTTGATCGAGAATATCTAGGATCCGTAGTGAAACCAATCTGTAAATTCATTAATATTGTTAAAATAATTAGTCGATTATAGAAAAGATTTCATTTATGAAAGTGAATAAAAGTGACAAATGAATATCATTACTTGATTGTTGATTACAATGTGAATAACGCCACCTGTCGTGTAATTCGGCAAATTAGTCAAATGCATCGTTTCGTAAACAATACCTTGACCCGAGAAAGCAGCGTCACCATGAACCAAAAAAGCCATTGATTTTTTGCCAACTAGTATATTGAATTTTTAATTACAAAAACATCTTGATCAATGAATTTCAATTTTATATACATACATTCGGCATCATTCTTTTCTACTTGTTCGGCTCGAACGCGACCAACTACGACAGGATCTATCGCCTCCAAGTGAGACGGATTAGCCATCATAGCAACACGAATCTTTTTCTTACTTCTATTAGAAATTTCAGCTAAATAATTTTATAGTTTCATCAACTAAATAATTTATCCATATTATCATATAATCACCTTTCTAACATTCTTTCTGCATGTGTTCCTAAATGATACTTCACATCACCAGAACCAAAACCTTCTAAAGCAATCGAATGAAATTGTGTAAGAAGTTGATGTAAAGGTTTCATACAAACGTTGATCAATGTGTTTAATCGACCTCGATGAGCCATTCCTATCACAACACTTTCAACTCCTAAAATATCATTTATTTTATATCTTTTACACGATAAGAATCATAATAATTTTTCCTTACCATGTTCCGCTGATGTTTCCAAGCATTGATTCATTGACGGTATAAAAGATTCGCAACCTTCCAAACCAAATCTTTTTTCAGTGGGAAATTTTCTTGCTAAAAATCCTTCGAATGTTACTGCCTTCATAATATTCATCCAAATAAATTTTCTATGATCCTCTGGAAGATCCCAAGCACCAGGTATTTCAAACTTATCTCTTAACCAATCTAACTAGAAATAATTTGACGAAATTAATTCAATGTAATATTATTCTTATCTTAATGATATCTCAATAGAGATAATATGTTATCTTATTTTCTTAAACTAAAAATATCTACCATAACAAGATCATGAATGTAGGTATATTCAAGACCCAAATGCCCGCAATAAACTTGGTTCAATCTAATTAGAATATCACGCAAAGGAAGACTTCGTTTAGGGCCACCAATTACGGTAAATGGTGCAAGAGGAAATTCTCTATTCATATCAGCTTCAGTCATTCCCTTCAAATGTTGTCGCACCACGATCGCAGGTGGTAAATTAGGAGTGCCTTGAAGCTTACGCGATTCTGGATTTTGTATGCCAAGCGGATCAGTATCGGCAATCAAATGACCACGTGCCTGAAACCGATATAAAATAGAAATAGACCAATTATAATGGTCTATTCGAATGGATTTATTAATGTAAGCTAAGAGCCTGATTGACGGATACTTGATAAGCTCGAATCGTGGCATTGATATCGAAAGCTCCAATTATATACCTATCACCTTGCATATCACCGTTTGACTTCGATCTTGCACTTTGTTGAGGAAATTTTGCTGTTGTTTTACAAGTAAAGTATATTTTTCTAGATATGTATTTTTCCTTTAAATAAAAATATTAAAAATTTAGAAGAAAACTCTGAAAGAAAATACCTGACTGTGAACTAGATGGTGGTGATCGAACGTGGGTAGAAGATGAAGAAGTCGATTTTGGCGATGATTTGTGGGAAGCTGCATCCGATTTTTTATCTTTCTCGTCAATTAATTTAAAATATCTATCCCAGGAAGCACTCACAGAACTTGGATCCTTCTTCCATGATTGATACATATATTCCAAATACTGAATATTGTCCATGTTCAACACATGATCGAATTTATCGTTTTTACCTTTTTGATTGTCATGTTTGAAACGCACGACATAGTTTTGTGGATAGAACGTTGTGAAGGAAAGACGTTTGAGTAGTATTTTCTTGTTGAAGCAATTGAACTTTCGTGGGATATGTATAACGAAAGGCCGTATACAATAATAAGATTGTCTATTAACATACATATCTCCATTTGTTATTATTCACCGTAAAAGTACTAGGTATATTCACTATTATTCTTGAAATTTCGAATTTAATAAGCCAAACTTGCTAAACTGCAAGTGTACTGGGAGTCATCGTGACACTTGACTATTTCAAAGGTTGTGGTATCAATATCAGTTTCTAATATTTTTTAATTTCTTTCATGAAGTTGTTCATTGAAGTTCTTTCATATCAATTTTCGATATTGAAATTTTATATTTTATTTTTATCAAAGTAATTTAAAATAAAATGAAATAAATATAGAAAATTAGCTGTCGAAATTATCATCCTTGAATGAAGATGAGTGGAAATAATAAATGACAATCTTATTATTTAAATTTTTTAATTAGATTAATTTTCTATAACGATTGTACGAGAAATAATAATTGAAACAACTGAATCGATTGATATAAATGCAACTTCTCACGTTTCTTGCGATATAGTTAAACATCAAAGTTCTTGTTGGTATTTTTGTGCAAAAATGTTTAAAATAAAGTTCAGTGATTCGGAATTACAAGATTTGAAATATTATAAGAATTAATAAGATGTGATGACATGATGCAACATGTTACACAACCCTATGATGATTTAATTAACATACCCTATATAGATATTCAAATGGATATACAATCGTTTGGTATTAGATTATGGCAATTTATTCGCAAAAATTGGTTCAAATCGCGAAAACTGTTACGTGTACCAGCTTTTTTGAAAACTCAATATTCCACTTCCCATGTGATATTATTTGTACAAGCAAGTTTGCAAATTGAGCAACAAATTTTATATATATTATAATCTTATATATCTGTTTTCTAATTAAAATATCTGTATATAGGATACACCACCATTAATTGTTGATCACAGGGTAATAAACATCACTCCGGATAGCAAACCGGAGCAAACAATTTTTCCAGATAATCATATTGTCTCTAAAAAAGTAAGTGTTTTTTAATTACGTATTTTAAATTAAAATTTAATTCATCCTTGCGATTTGATATAATTTGAATATAATTTGGATCATTTGATTTTCAGTACACAATGTGGAACTTTATACCAAAAAATCTCTTTGAACAATTTAGACAACTAGCAAATTTTTATTTTCTTACAATGGCGATAACATCTGTATCGATAAAGTCCCCGATCTCTCCTATAACCAGCATTCTTCCCCTAACTATTGTTATACTAGTAACCGCGTGCAAGCAAGGCTTCGAGGATTATAATCGTTACATTAATGACAAACGAGAGAATCGGACATTCGTCACTGTCATACGCAACAAATGTGTACAGGTAAGTAGCAATTATATAATTATATCTAAAATTAACTAATTTTAATCGACGTAAACATATTTTTTCTAATATATTTCTTTTCCTTAGTTTTTTCGACGCTTATGTTTAACATTTATGATTTATAATGCAAAGCGTATTCTAATTATCTAATTATCATCATTAATCATTAATAAATTATCAAAGATGGTAGCAATATACAAACATTTATATTTCAAATTTATTTTCTGCGCTATCGTTGTTAAAAAAGTATTATAATTTTTACTTTTCTAGGAAATAATATAATTATATAAAAGTGAGAGACAAAGAAGATAAAAATCAATTATATTGTCAGCTTCGATTGAAATGCATCAAAATATTCATCATATTCTCCATTCTACATTTTCAGAACATTTACCGTGAAAATATAGTAGTCGGTGACTTAGTGAAGATATATCGCGAGGAAGATATCCCTTGCGATCTTTTGCTTCTCTATAGCACAGAAGAAATGGAATGCTGTTACATTACCACATCAAATCTTGATGGTGAAACCAATTTAAAGGTAATTCTTTTTTAATCAAATCAAATAATGAGTCTGATTAATTCAATAATAAAATTTTAAGTTTGCTGTATTAATAATAGATATTAAATCATTCATAGACTGTGATGATTCCAAAAGTACTTTCAAATATGTCGATGCAAGAAATAATATCGTTAAATGCCATTGTCACTTGTCAACATCCTTCATCGAATCTTTATTCTTTCCATGGCAAAATGGAAATCAAAGATGAAAACAATGAAACGATCAGAAGTGGATATCTAACAATCAATAATTTACTGCTTCGTGGATCTAGATTGAAAGATACGGATTATATTATCGGTTGTGCGATTTATACTGGTCACGATACAAAATTGTCTCTCAATTCAAAGATAACAAGTAAAAAAATGTCCACGTCTGAAAAGTAAATAATCTCGAGTATAATATTTTCATATAAAGTGAAAATTAGGAAAAATAAGAAAATGGGGTAAAGCTGAACCTCTAATATATTTTTTATGCCAAAGTAAAATTAAAGACTAAACAAAATTTTAAATATTAAAATTTTAAATGAGTATTAAATGATTATAATTATAAAAAAAAACTATTTTTTCTTTATAATTATTTAGTTTTCATAAGATGAAAAAATAATTTCTTAAAGATGATATAAGTATTCATATTTTAATAATTCAAAGGAGATATTTATTATTTACATTTTTTGATATTAGATAATAAATTGCAACACTCTAAAAATAATTTATAAAGCATAATATTGTATTTATTGGATTTTAATGGATTTTTTAAAATAGAAATTATAAATAAAAATGATACATTGATTTTTCAATTTTCAAAATGAAAGAAAAAACTAACGTATTATATGGTCTATAGTTTATTATGATGTATGGATCACCTGAATTTAATATCTTGCCTTATCATGTATAATTCCATATTATTATTTTTATCTTATTATTAGAGAAACATGTCTCTATAATGTAATACTCTATTACATTTTTCTTATAAATATATGAATTCAACCGTAATTTATTATTTACAGATCCAATAATAAATATATCGTCTGTTTCCTCATCATATTACTATTTGAAGTAATAGAATCTTGTACAATGAAAGCCATAATAGAGGAATCATGGTCAGAGTTATGGTCATCATACCTGAATGATATTCAACCCTTTAGTTTTTCCCAATTGGTTACGGATTTTTTAAGCTTTCTTATCCTTTACAATTATATCGTGCCGATATCATTATACGTTAGCATAGGTAAAAACTATTTTTACTATTTTTCTTTTTAGTTTGTTTTATATTTAGCTATCATAATTAGAAATTATTAAAATTAAAAATTTAAAAATTAAGATTAATATCAGGGTGAAAATCAATTATTGATTAACTGAAATAGAAATAATTGACGAGCTTCGAATAATTAATTGTTTTTTTTATAGAATTACAAAAATTCTTCGGTTCATTTTTCTTCAGCTGGGACGTTGACATGTATGACGAAGACACGGATCAACCAGCATTAATTCACACGTTAAATCTAAACGAAGAGCTTGGCCAAATCGAATACTTGTTTGCAGATAAGACTGGTACACTCACCGAAAATATGATGGTATTTAGGCGTTGTTCGATCAATGGAAAAATGTATATGGAAAAAGATTGCGATGGCAAATTGTATCTATTACCTCCCAGTGGAGATGAAAATCAGGCAGTTGAATTAAAAACCTGGGAGGTAGGATTACATTTCTAATTAAATGCAATCATGTGAGTATTTTTAAGATGTTACTCGATATAATTTTCGATTAAATTCCAGCCAGAACATTGGCATTTTATGATAAGCATCGCTCTATGCCATACAGTTCAAATTTCACCCCCAAGTCAAAAAGCCAGTGCCATCCTAAAACGTAAAGAATTTCGTGAAAGTTTCAGGCAAAAGAAAATCCTTCATGTAGATAGTTCTCTCTTGATGCATCCGGATTTACCAGAGTATCAGGTAAAAATAGTCTTTTGCATAGATATAAATCTTTATATTAATTTCATCATATATTTTTATCCCTAATGATTGATAAATAAAAGTTAAAAATGAATTTATATTACAAACTGTTAAAATAATGTGACGAAACAAAAAAGCTGACGAAGCTAAACAAAAATATTTTATTTAAATTAGTAATAACTAATGTGATTGTGAGTAAAACATTTAAAAATATTATTATCTGATTATTATGCGGTAGGCAACATCGGCAGACGAAAAAGCTTTGGTTGAAGCCTGTGCCAGATGCGGAGTCATTTTTGAATCAAAAAAAAATGATATGATAGAATTAAAAATCCAAAATAAAATTTTGACTTATAAAATGCTTGAAATTCTAGAATTTACTTCCGGTTAGTAAGTTCAAAGATTTATCAAACTCTTAAGAATTGTAGATTATAAAAATTATGATGAATTTTCGGTAGAACGTAAGAGAATGTCGGTATTGGTAAAAGACTCAGCTGGAGATTACTGGTTATACAGCAAGGGAGCAGATAGCACTATGTTGCCAATTATAATCGAAGGAAAAATCAACGAAGTTATTACGCACGTGACTGATTTTTCTATGGTTGAACAAATAATCTTTCATAAATTTTATAAATTATTATTTTTCCTTTTATATCTTCATTAAAAGAATACTGTTTTCTTTAGAGAGGTTTTCGAACTCTTGTTATTGCATATAAAAAGATAAACAAAGCGAAATATGATAAATTTTCGATTGAACTAGAAAAAGCTAGACAAATAATTGGTATAGAACGATCAAAATATATAGAACGAATTTATAATACGATGGAAAAAGATCTCACTTTATTAGGTGCGACTGCTATTGAGGATCGTCTTCAAGAAGGAGTGTCGGAAACTTTGGAATCCTTGCAAATAGCTGGAATTAAAGTCAGTAATATTAATATTATTGATTACAAAAAGATTGATTTTAAAAAAAAAATTTTAAATTAAATCTTCGTATGATTTTTTTTTTCATTCAGATATGGATATTAACTGGTGATAAAGCGGAAACCGCAGAAAATATAGCATATCTCTGTGGTCAATTTAAGAATGGTACCGAAGTTCTTAAATTGTTAGAAATAACAGAAAAAGAAACTTGTCTTCACAAACTTACAGATTTTGAGTAGATATACAATAATTTTTCATAAAACTATTTAATCTTTCGTTCATATTTTTATTTATTTCTTTTTATACAATTTTAGAAGAAGATTGAAACTCGAACCTTCTAAACAATTTGGATTACTAATCGATGGACAAAGTCTTGCAGTTGCAATACAAAATTATGCAGATGAATTCAGATCAATCGCAATGCATTGTGATGCAGTCGTTTGTTGCAGACTATCTCCGTTACAAAAAAGTGAAGTAAGTTTTTTATGAAAAAAAGTATATAAATATATTTTCCTACAGTTATATTTCTTTTTTTTTAATCTATACAGATTGTAAAATTGATTAAAAAAGCAAAGACTCGACCGCATACTGCTGCCATTGGTGATGGAGGAAATGATGTTTCGATGATTCAAGAAGCCCATGCTGGAATTGGAATAATAGGCAAAGAAGGTCGGCAAGCGGCCATTAACTCCGATTTTGCAATAGCTAAATTTAAATTTTTAAAGAAAGCATTATTTGTGCATGGACATTGGTATTATATCAGGACCGCCAATTTGACGCAATATTTTTTTTATAAGAATTTTATTCTCATGATACCACAATTTGTATTTAGTATATTTTGTGGATTTTCCACACAGGTAAGATTTAAATTTCAGAATAGATATCTTTACAATGATTTTCTATTTTTAAGTTACTTTATCTATTTGCAGTCATTTTTTGACGCCTTATACTTAATGTCTTACAATGTAATATTTACATCTTTTCCAATAATGATGTATGGATTGTTTGAACAGAATTATAGTGCTGATACATTATTGCGTAAACCATATCTGTATAGATTAAATCAAGGCAATTATTTATTATCTATGCAGCAGTTATTCTTATGGATTTTTCTAGGTAAATTATTTAAATGATTCATTAGCGAAAATGAACATTTTATTAATATATTCTTTCAGGTTCTTGGCATGCTATTGTTATATTTTTTATGCCATATACATACATAATCATCAATCCTGTTACTTTATATAATAACACGCCAATAGAACAATGGACATTCAGTATACTTGTTTTTCATTTAGTTACACTAATAGCCAATTTACAGGTAGTGAAATTTTTATTTTCTTAATCAAATTTTTATATCAAATTCTTATATCAAATTTTTCTTATTTTATATGAAATTAATTTTTATTTTTTAGATACTTTTACGTAGTTCTTATTGGACAATACCACTTATATTAGTAGTATTATTCTCACAACTAATATTTGTTGTATTTGCAGTTACTCATTCATTTATACCCATGTAAGCAATATTTCATAATTTCATAAATTTTATATACATAAAATCTTATATTTCATTTAAAATTATCATTCATTTTTATTTAATAGAAGATACGATGGTGATATGTTGAGGGTCTTTATAATATTAGTATCGTCGATAACATTCTGGCTTCTAACTATTGTGGTCGTCGTCGCTTGTTTAATTCCTGATTATTTACTACTTACATATAACAACTATAGATCTACTTTTAAACTAAGAAAACATGAAGAATCATTGCGTTTTATTAATAACGATAGCGATAATACACAAAATGTATTATTCAAACATATGTTTTAATATTTAGATAAATTATCTTATCGAAATTATTTTATCTATACATTAAATAAGTTGTTTTCACGCTAACTAATGATAATGAATGGATATTTCAGAGATAACGTTTTAACATGTCACAGTTTTGGAGACACAATTTTATATTACGAAAATCCGAATGAGATAATATTGCATCGAGGAACTTTAATTTTCCATGAAATTGATAAATTGTCCTTTGTATTATATAGAACGTAAGTTATTTATTAATTTATTATTTACTTATCTAGAGATATATATAATATTCTTTATAAATATGTTTACTATATTTATTATTGTATTCTATTGTAATGTAAAACCATCAATTTATAAAAGTACTTTATATTTATTTATAATTTCTTAATTAGAAAATGAAGCAACTCGATTAAATGTTGCAACAAGATTTGAAATCCAATATATACATTTATTATCCTGATATCATAATTACATTATGCATGAAAATATCATAAATATAATATATAATATATAATATATATATATTTATGATATGTGTGTGTGTGTGCGCGCGCGCGCATGTAAATAATATTCTAATAATTTGTTTTTTTTTTTATCGTTATTATTTTATTTTATTATTTGAAATGATTAGGAAATTGCATTTTTAATTAAATTATTTATACAAATTACTGATACAGTAATGCTTCAGAAATCGGAATGTTTCAGAAAATATAAATTTTCTATTTTCATTAATTTATTACAATTTAAATAAATCAGTCTTTGACGGAATAAAATAAAAATTGATCAATTATCATTTTAATCTATAAAAAATTAAATTTTTATGATTTTCATATTATTATAATATAAAAATTGAAATTAATTGATATTACGAAATTGTCTTAATTATATTGCATTAAAATGAGTTCAAGCATATAAATCAATTTCTATAATTTGAATAGTAAGAAAATTTCAAAAAATATCTTCAAGTATTACTGTATTATTGATTCTTTAATTATTTTATTATAATCTATTAAATGCTATACATATATTATTACAGAATTTCAAATACAATATATTCTTAAAAAAGAAATATTATAAAAGAAATTGATAAATATTTAATATTATGAAATCATATGTTTATATTATGTTTATATATATGTTTATATATTATAAGAAGTAATCAAATGTAAATTAATATAGAATAATTGTAGGATAAAAATATGTATTTTTCTATTTTATGATTGAAGTAGAAGCATTTTTAATTTTTTAAATGATTCAATCTTATAATAAGTGTTTAATAATGTATATTTCCATTAATTATTGTAAATAATTTTATTGTAAATAATTTTATATAAAAGAAAAAATTAATTTTAAAAACTATATAATGTCATCGCACATGATAAGTTTTAAATTGTGTGTAACAAAAAGATAATATATGATGATGTGATGATGTTTTGTAACGTCGTAAATACATTAAAGATTTAATTTGTATTTTTCTCTTTTCATATCCATATGCATATCAAGATATATTTTCTATTTTTCTCAAATGACGCGCCCTAATGGTAGTTATATCTATAGTTCAAAACTGAAGTTAATTCTCAGTTTCACGGGAAAGATAGAGTATGTCAATATTCGCCAATGTTTTTTCGCTGTTTCAACATGATGTGATAAATTTCCAAAGAGAAATTCTAAAAGAAGGCAAATATACAATGAAAGAAGAAAGAAAAAAACAAATTTCAAGAAATATCTTATATGATTAATTATAGTTTATGATCTTATTATTGAATGAAAAAAAATAAGAAAATAGAAAAATGAAAAAGGGAATAATTAATGATGTAAATTGAAGACATTATTTGTGACTATTATTAGAAAACTGGTAAAAAAAAAAGTCACGGTAGATTAATTATTTATTTATTAAATCCTAAAGTTGTTTTAACCTAAGGATTGTTTTAAAAAAGAATCAATTAAGTTTGTTTCAAACGAAATGTTGTTATTTTTCACACACTTAATTATAGATCAAAGTTATTAATTCTATACATTTTCACGAAGTATACGTATTAAATTTATACATATTTTATAAAAATAGATTCTTATTAGTTAATTTTTTAGGAAAGAATTTTATACAATGGTCTGTTGAAACAATATAAAATTATTGTTATATATAACTTTATTTGATTTTAATAAAATTAAACTTATATAATTTCTGTATTCATTTATTTTTTTTAAGATTATTTTTTTTAAGATTATATTTTATATGTTTTGTTTGATTATTCTTTTAAACTTGAAATTTTGTATTTATATATTTATTCTGTATTATTTTTTAATACTTTGTTTTATTTAAATTGATGTTAATTATTAATATTTATAATAAATTTGTATGTCTATGAATAAATATTTTTATTTGTTATTTTTATTACATTAAATTTTAATTGTATTTTACAACATAGATATATATTTTGGATGAAGAAAATATTTTAGGAAAAAATTTTGCCTTTTAGGTAATTTTATGATAAATAAAAATGAAGATTATGTCATGTTATTTTCGACGTTTAATAATAACAGCATTATTTATTTTATTGCTGTTTTGTGTTATTCAAGTTTTTCGTTCGGAATTAGGATTTAATGATAATGAATTATCAAATTTAGATAAATTGTAAGTAAATATTTTATTCATTTCAATATAAGAATGAACTATTTTATATTATAATTCATATTTTGATAACTTATATCATTTCAGAATACACATATCTCAGTTAATTAAGGAATCTGAACAACCTTATATTGGGTATACAATTAATTTTATTAGAAAAATTTTATTAGATAAAAAAAAGTAGAAAGGTTCATATGTCCTTAGGGAAGGAATTGTGGCTTGTAAACTACCTCAATTAGATGTTTCTAATCCAGAAATTACCAAATTCATTCATGATGTTTCTCCCTTGCAATGTACACCAGAAGATTGGGTTATTCTTCGTGGCTCAAGATTGGTTATTAGTAATAAAGCAAAAAAAAAATATGGATCTATAACTTGTCTTTTCAGTGGTAAATTTTGTGAAATTTACACATTTACAGTAATATTTTATAATATTTATATTATTGTATTTTAAAATTGTTTCAATTACATTTATAGAAATTCTCAGAGATGATGATTACAATGTATCATTTATGACTCCTATTGAATCTGATGATTCCTATGTTTTAAAATACAGTGATTTTGTTGATGTTAAATGTGAATCACAAAATGGAAATGAGTAAGTATATATTAAAAATAATAATTAATTGATTATTATCTATTGATTAATTTATTTCTTACAAAATTTTTTAGATGGCATAGTATCATGGTTGGAGTAAAGGATGATCCTAAAGTAAAAGAAAAAAGTAAATGGGAAAATGTTGGGAACAAAGCTCTTAAGTTAAATGTACTTATGTTTGGTTTTGATTCTTTATCCAGAAATACATTTATACGTAAATTACCAAAAACATATCAATATTTAAAAGAATACTTAGATGCTTTAATATTAGAAGGATATAATATAGTAGGTGATGGAACACCACAAGCTCTTATTCCTATTCTTACTGGAAAGATTGAACTTGAACTTCCAGATACTAGGAAACGCATGGGATTAAAAGCAAAGTATGTCAATGTATATCCAATGATATGGAATCAGTATAAAGAAAATAGTTATATAACAGGATTTATGGAAGACGTTCATCATATTGGAACTTTTACATATCGTCTAAAGGGTTTCAATAAACAACCAACTGATCATTACATGAGAACTTTCTATTTGGCTGCCACACCATATTTTAGATATTATAATAAATTTTGTGTTGGAGGCATTCCAAGACACATGGTATTTCAAATTTTAATATTTTTTATTAAGATTTATTATTATTAAGATTATCAATTTGATCATTAAATTTATTACTCTTGTAGGTAATGTTAAATTATATTAAAGAAATTTTTAATGTTTATAAACATCAACCAAAATTTCTGTTTGGATTTCATGGAGAACTTTCACATGATTCTTATAATGATATAGGAATGGTAGATGAAGATTTCTATAATTGGATAAAAGATTTACATGAATTTGGTCACTTGAATAATACAGTATTGATAATAATGAGTGATCATGGACATAGGTTTGTATAATATATGAAATTGAATTGAATAAAATTTTATTTTGAATATTGTATTATATCATAAAAATTTTATTCTTAATATATTGAAAACATATATTTGTAATATTGAAAATTTTATTTTTAAGGTTTGCAGAAATTCGTAATACTCTACAGGGTAAACAAGAAGAAAGACTACCATACTTTTCATTTGTATTTCCATTGTGGTTTAAAAAAGTTTATCCAGAAGCTTATGCAAATTTTTTACATAATACACGTTATTTAACAACTCCATTTGATATTCACAAAACATTAGAAAGTATATTAAATTTTGAAACACCAAAAAATGGAGATCGTCATCAGAGAGCTATTAGCTTATTTGATAAGGTAGATAAATTAAAAATTATATTTAATATTTATAATGTCTATTAAGCAATCATTGATTTTTCGCATAAATGTTTCCAAATAAAATTATGGTGACACAATTTTTATTTTTTGCTATAGATTAAATATAACATTAATATTTAATTATATTTAAATTTAAAAATTAATAAATATACATGATAATACAGATACCATTAGATAGAACTTGTGCGGATGCATTTATAGAACCACATTGGTGTGCATGTCTTAATTGGCAAGAAATTTCAATTGACAATGATAATGTTATTGCTGCAGCTAAGTATTTTATTCAATTCCTTAATAGTTATACAGAAGATCATCGTGATATATGTGAAAAATTGAAAATAAAAGAAATATTGTGGGCTGCTAAACTTATACCTAATAAAGGTATTATAAACAATTATATTTTTTTTTATGTTAATTGATAAATATTAAAATGTAAAATTATAGGTTTACTGAAATTTCAAAAATCGGGAGATCAAGATGGTTTTATAGGAGATTTTAGTGCAAAAACAAAATTAACTATTGAAACCTATCAATTAAAAGTAAAAACAGAACCAGGAGCTGCTTTATTTGAAGTCAGTATTACTTATGATATAAAAAAAAGTAGTTTTTTGACCAAAGTAAGTTCACTATTTATATTTATTAATATAATCATTAAAAAATAAAAAAATAAAAATAATTATATCAAAATTTTTAGATTTCAGATGTTAGTAGAATTAATATGTATGGGTCTCAGGCAAGATGTGTAGAAAATTCTTTATTTCATTTAAGAAAATATTGTTATTGCAAAGATTAAACAGTTATTATTTAGAAAGTAATATACATATTTACTTAAATTAAATAGCAAAAAAATTTTCATGAAAAAATTCACAAGCCATGAAAGAAATGCTGTGATTAGAATTATATTTCAATTTTTATATTTACCTCATGTTTTTCGTCTTAACAAACATTATAATCTTAAGAATAATATAATAATACAGAAAAAGATAACATTACAAATAAAGAATATTATTATTTATAGTGTATTTATACATAGTATTATATTTATATTTTACACATATATAAAGTGAATCATGCATCAATAAATAATATCTTAAATTATGTATTAATATTATTAAATAATTATGTATTAATAACAATTAATTAATTAAATAGACAAACTGCTAAATTTTAAATTATCAATTTTTACTATGTTTTAACAAATTAATGAATATTAAGTACATGATAAATATATAATATAAATAATGCATAATATAATGATTTGATATATAGAGTAATGTTTTTTTTTCATAAAATATATTTATGATATAATTTTCTGTAAATTTTTTTTAATCATTGTGAAAGACAATATTCGCCAAACTGATGCAAAAATGTTGTAATTTCATGAGTTACACTGTCAATTAATAGAAATCCTATATTTTGCATATGTGATGGCTCATATGGAAAATATGCTTCTCCTTTACTATCTTTAGCTACTACTTGTAAAACTATTGTACTAATTGATAAATCAGTATCTTCATTTTTTTGTACTCTAAATAATAGAAAAATATAATTATTTATTGTATAATTATTATTATATAAACAGAATACTTATAAACTATTATATCACTCAACTTTATTAAATCCTTATACATGGCTCTTGTTACTTCTAAATATGGATTTAAAATATCTTCATATTGACACAATATTCCTCCAAGAACAAGCATTTGAAAAATAAAAAATATAAATTCTTCTCGTTCATCTTTTAAATATAAATTATACTCTGGACATTCTTCATCTAATAACATCTATAAATTTATTATAAATGAATGTATAATTATATATTAAATATATATATAAATAAATATATATATTAAAACTAATTAATTATAATTATAAATAAGTAAAAATCTATACTGCTCTAAGATTATCAGAGATTAGAAAATTTTCTATTTCCATATCAAATCTTTTACAAATTGCTCCAGACTTGTGCACAATTCCATTTTTAGGATCTTTTAATTTATTGAAGAAAGACATATTTAAAACAGAACAAGAAATAGGATTTATTTCTACACTTGATGCTATTATATCTATTAAATAAACAAAAATTAATAATATATAATATCATATAGAAAAATATCTTTAGTTACCTTGTTTTGCCCAATAATTTCCTTGCTTTGTTAATAATTCTTTAGCAACAGTACTATCTTTAAAAAAAGCCTAGAAAAATGAAAAAATAATAAAAATATTAAATTTAAAATTTTTTTAAAATTATTTTAAAGTAAAAGCATTTTAAAATAAAAACTACATAATTAATGTACTGACTTCAGCTAAATGATATTTATGATATTTTTGAAAAGGTTCATTGAATGTAAAATGCTGGATAATAAAATTTCCTTTAATTCCCCTAAAAATTGAAAAAGAACTTATTATTATAACAAGTTGTTATATTTAAATTTGAATAAAAAAATTTTGCAAATATATATATAAATCAAAAATAGATAACAATAACAATAATACTAATATTATTACCATTTAGAAAGAAATTCTTGAATTTTTTTATCATTTATATTAATAAGATTTTTTTGAACAAGAGGCACAAATGTATATTTATGTTCAATCTCCATTTTTAACAAGTTTATATTGTTACTATGGAAATATATATATGTTTATATACTATGTTAATTGTTTAATATATAGAAAACTTTTGAAAAAAAAGGAAATTATAATAAACATTATAATTATAATAATATAAAAAAGAAATTTATAAAGAAAATATTTTTATGCAATAATAAAGAAAATATATAAGATTACATATAAAATATTTGTATAAATTAATGTTACATAATTGTAATCATAAAAATAATTTTTATTAATTAATAAAATAATATATATAAAATTTTAATATTTCTAAATATTTTATTAATATAGTTACACAGTTAAAAAAATATTTAGCTTCAAAGGTTTTGAAAAATCATGGCGCCGAATCAACGTCAACGTCAGCTTTTTATTTCCAAGAAAGAACTGAAAAAGTTGAATGGCAGAAGATTTTCAAAGTAGACAATAATTTTTTTTTCTTAATAATAAAACATGGAAAAAAAAATTTTGTGTTCTTTTACATTTAATAAAAATAAACATTATATACCGGTTAACCTTTTTTCTTTGACAATTTGATATTAATTGTTTTAATAAGAAATTACAAATATCTATATGTTATTTTATAAAATTTGTATTATTATTAATTATTATTAGGTATTTTTATTTTTTTATTTCATGATTAATATGAAATGTCTAAAATAATAAAATTATAAATTATAAAAATTAAATGTGCATAAAATTAAATACAAATTTCAAGAAAAATTAAGAATGTATGTTTCAGACCTGAAGAATCCTCTGATATTGGTCTTATTTATCCTTGTGTGGATACAGCATTTAAATTACTTCTATCTGCTAGATTTTGTTCTGCTATATGGAGTCATATAACAGATTGTGATGAAACATATAATTATTGGGAACCAGTAAGGAATAATTCTTAATAATTTTTTTAATTTTTAATAATGTTTATATATGTGTTTGTTTTATATTATTCTGTTTTAATAAATAGATTATTTGTTTTACAAAAATATTTTCTTTCATATATTTTATGTTTTAGAGTCATTATCTACTTTATGGCAATGGTCAACAAACATGGGAATATAGCCCACAATATGCATTAAGATCATACATGTATTTATTGATTCATATGGTACCAGCAAAACTTTATCATTACTTGTTAGAACCAAATCCTGTTTTAGTTTTCTATTTTGTAAGATGCCTATTATCTGTGGGTTGTGCATTGTCTGAAGTATATTTTTATAAGTATATATCTTATGAATCATATTATATTGTTAATAATATAGATTCATTAATGATAAATTTTATCTTAAAATATTAAAAAATATTATCATTTTTCTAATAGAAATGTATGCAGAGAATTTGGAATTCACATAGGCAGATTAACATTAGTATTTCTCATTCTTAGCTCTGGCATGTACATTGCTAGTGCTGCATTTTTACCATCCTCCTTTTCAATGTATGTTTAAAAATAATAATATATAAAATGAATGTGCAAAATTAAATCATTTAAATTAATATTATATATTTTTATATAGGTATTTGAGTACTATTGCAACAGCAGCATGGTATGGACGTCAGTATGAATTAGCAATTTTTGCTACAGCTTTATCTACTTTATTAGGATGGCCATTTGCAGCATTACTTGGGTATTTTTATTTGTACTATATAGAAAATTAAAGTGTAAAAATTAAATAGTTATATAAATATTTTTCATATCAATTTGCAGGTTACCAATTGCAATAGAAATGTTATTACATAAACAAGAATGGAATAAATTTATAAAATGGGTAGTCATATCTGGTACTGTTGTTTTAATACCAATGATATGGATTGATTCAATGTATTATGGTAAACTAGTTATAGCACCTTTAAATATTGTAATGTACAATGTTTTTACTAATCATGGGCCAAATATTTATGGAATAGAACCTTTCAGCTATTATATTTATAATGGATTTTTAAACTTTAATTTCGTTTTTATTGGTGCTATTTGTGCTCCATTTGGATTGGTAATATTTATGAAAACAATAATCTAAAACTTTATAATTTTTGATATCATAATCAACATTATAGTTTTTAGTGTGGCTAATTGTACCAGCTAGACCAAGAGATCGTTTATGTTTATCTTACTGGTATTCTTTGGCGCCATTGTATCTTTGGTTTCTAGTGTTTTTTTCACAACCTCATAAGGTAAATTAAATGATATTTTTTAACATTATATATATCTAATTATATTTTTATTATATTATATTATATTATATTATATTATATTTATATTTTTATAATATTTTTATATTACAGGAAGAACGATTTTTGTTTCCTGTGTATCCAATGATTTGTATGGCTGGAGGTATAGCTGTAGATACTATTCAAAAATTATATTTTTTTATCAGGACAAAAATTAGTTCTTTACATATTGCTTATCATTATTTGCAATATACTGTTTATATTACATGTTTTGCTATTTTAATATGTGGTCTTCTTGGAATATCAAGATCATTGGCAATATATAAAGGTAAAAAATTTTGGTTAATTAAAATTTGAAAGTTAATTAAAATAAAATTTTTTCATTTTTTTCTTAAATATTAGGTTATTATGCACCAATGGAAGTACTGATTGATACTAATAAACTTGGTTTAGAAAGAGAAATATCTAAGGATATTAATATTAATTTTTGTATTGGTAAAGAATGGCATAGATTTCCAAGTAGCTTTTTCTTTCCATCAAATAAGTAAGTAACACATTTCTTGACAAATACAATATAAAATATTTCATATTTTTAAATAAAAATATTGTAGTTGGAAACTTCAATATCTAAGGTCAGAATTTAAAGGTCAATTACCACAACCTTTTTTAAACCATGAAAATGCAACTAGTATTATACAACCCTATTTTAATGATATGAATAAAGAAGAACCTACACGTTATGTAAGCTATTATTCATAACACAATATGAAGATATTAAAATGTAGATTTTAGAAGTTTTGCATAGATTTTTTATATAATTATTATTGAATTTAACTAATTTAATGCACATTATTGTAGTTTAATTTAGATAAATGCCATTTTGTGTTAGACTTGGACAATGGTATTGAAACAATTTTAGAACCAAATTATTCTCAATTCAATGATAATTTTACAATAATAAAATCATCCAAATTTTTAAATTCAGCAAAGTAAGTGAATTATATGTTACATGAATTTTCTTATATTATCTATAATATTTATTAACTTAATATTTTATTGAATTTTTTATTTATTTTTTAGATCACACCGATTTTTCCGAGCATTTTATATTCCTTTCTTATCTGATAAATATTGTACATATGACTCGTATAATTTATTACAGAACATTAAATTGAAATCAATTCCTCTTTTATCAAAAGAAAAGAATACAAAATCTATTTAAAAATTTTAGAACATATATATGATTTTGATAAACAGGGTCTCTATCAGGGAAATTACATGTTTGATATTTCCAAATGGATGTGTAATAAAAAATAAAACAAAATAATTTAAAAATAATAAATGAAAATGAAAAAAACAAAAATGATTAAAACTTAAAAAAATTATAAACTTTTTTAGTTTTATTAAAAATTAAGAAATTCATAATTAGATTTTAAATCAATCATAATTTTGTTATAATAAATAATTGTTAATACATGTATAATATAATATATGCGCTTATAATTAAAAATATGCGCGATTAGTGTGTTTTAAAAAAAATATATAAATTATGATTAATATAAATATATTGAATAAAAATTTTGTATAAAATACATAGATATATAAAAAACTTATACTTGTAATAAAACATTTAATTAATTATTTTTTATGTATAAAATACTTAATAATATAAAATATTTTAATTTTGTTCTTGCATTTTTAGTATTTACACATTTTAATAAACTGTTAAGCATTATTTTTATCAATACATAGTAATTTTATCAGTATAATATATATAATAAACTTAACTAAAAATAGTAACTGTATGAATAATATTTGATAATAATATTTATATGTAATTAAATTCTAGTTTCTTTGTAATTAACATATACATATACATATACTTATACATATATATATATATATATATATGTATAGTAAATATATTTATGAAAGTGCAATATAATTAATTTTAATTGCAATATACTGTAAATTATTGTATTATATTTTATAAATATTCTAGTAAAAATTGTCAGGAACATATTGTGTAAAATCTAAATTATTTAATATATTTTAATTATTACAAAATATTTTTTAATGTATTTTTTATTAAATTTTTTTTTTAAATTTTGTGATATAAATTAATTATAAATAAAATAATATATGATTTATGAATATATAAAATTATATATAATTTTTTTTATCAGACATTTTATAAATGTTGCTATATCAAACAAATTAAAATTGCAAATATTAGTATATAAATATATTATAGGAATTAGATATGTATAAAAAGATAATTTATGCTTTATTGTAATAAATTCTTATATAGATTCTTTCTCTACCAAAAATACATTACAGAATCATTTTTATTATTAAATTGTTTAAATAATTAATGTATATTATTTTTTTATCATAATTTGCTTTGCATATATAATTAAGCTTTGTGCATAATTTTTTATTAAAATCAAACGTTATTATTATATATATGAATGGGGCGCTTCTGTCTATCTAATGTTAATAGCCATTTTTTTAGATCAACGCGATAAATTTCGAGTAAACAAAATTTTAATTCATGCGCGTTGATGTATGTCCTAGAGATAAGAAAATTTTTCACTGCATATATGTGATATTTATTAACAAATATTTAAATATTGATAAAATTATTATTTAACGTGATGTATACTGATTGCTAATTGTGAAAACACCTACTGTTCGAAGTATAGTAGTTTCGTTAAGATAAATGTAAAATGGAAACGAATGAACGAAATCATTCCATAAAATTACCAGGTGCAGTTGAAGTATTTGCAAATTTGAAAAATGCTCAAAAATTTGCTATTGATATTGGTATGTATTATGTTGTATATTTTATTAACATTCTGTAAAAGATTTTATGTATTTTATATAAATTCAATTATAAGGTTATCCTTCAAACGGTCTTTGAAAATTATATATATTTATTTTTAATTTTTAAAATTCGAAATCATCATAGTCCTTTAATAATACAATTCAAGATTATTTTGATTTTCATTTAATTACAGGATTATCTTTGACAAAAATAGCTTATTATTCAACAATTAGTTATCGTAAAGCATTATACGAGGATACAGGTTTAGGAAATACTGGAGAACGTACATACAAAGTACATGAAGGCAATAGACTTCATTTTGTTAAATTTGAGACTAGATACCTTGAAAATTGTTTGGATTTTGTAAAAAAAAATTTAGTAAATGTTGAAAGATTTCATGGCAAAAATATTAAAGTAACTGGTGGAGGAGCATATAAATTTAATTTTTTGCTACAAGAAAAATTAGGTTTAATGTAAGTATTTTAAAATAATATTTAAATTTATTAAATATAATTTATATTTATTTATTAAATATTTATTATATAATATTTATTATTTATATTTATTAAATAAAATTTATATAATTTAATAAATACTATTAACAAAAATAAAAGTAAAACATTATTTTAGAATTGATAAAGAAGATGAGATTGCATGTCTAATAAAAGGTTGTAATTTTTTATTAAAAAATATATCTTGTGAAGCATTTGAATTTGAAAGATATGGAAATCCTGAATATAAATTTCAAAAAGCTGGTCCTAACATATTTCCATATATGTTAGTAAATATTGGTAGTGGTGTCAGTATTCTTAAAGTAAGTTACAAACATAATAATTAATTGTCTAAATTCTTCTTTATTTTTAAAATATGTATGATATTTT